CAGACAGAGCCGAGGGCTCCCCAGCACAGTGCCCTCTTCTGTCTGTGAGGCACCTTTGCAGACGAGGGGAAGGGACATCAGGCCAAATCAATTCATCATCCCAACAGCTTTAACCTCCATTCATGTTCCAAATGCAAAGTTGAACAGCTGAATCTTGATTTAGCTGAGGACTGAAAGAAAAACAGCCCAAGAGTCAACAGATACCAATAACCGAGACGCTGAAGTCTGGGAATATTTATTTCCCACAGTCAGTTTTAGCCAATTTATTTTAAGACCAAAGTTTTAATTATTTATTTTTAGTTGTACCAGGATCTAGAATATGAGCCTTGCTTTTATACGGTAGGTATTTGCGTAAGATCATCTGTGACAGTTCTTCTTTCATGGCCAACTTCCTCTTTGGTTTGAACACAAACATCTTGGTTCATCACTCTTTGAGGCACAAACTTACCAAGCAAACAATGGTGGTCATGTGGGACTGGGGGTGTGGCTCGTTCATAGAGTGCTTGCCTCTTGTGAACAAGACCTTGGGCTCAATCTCTGGCACCTCATGAATGGGTCGAGGTATCACGTGTCTCTATGCCTAGCAAGCAGAAGGCAGAGGCAGGAGGATCAGAAGCTCAAGGTCATCTTCTGATAGGTAACGAGTTCAAGGCCACATGGAATGCATGAGACACTGTCTCAAAACCAAAAACAGAAATCATAAGAAAAGTCTCAGATTTACCAGTCTGTATTTTTTTTTCAAATTCCTTTCACTTTCTGTTTTTATTCATTTTCTAAAACCTTTGCACTGAATTCACCACATACATCCTCAAACTTGTCAGTGTGGTGCTCAGCCCATTACTAATCAGCCACAGTAGGAACATGGGAAGTTAAGGAGCAGCCTTAGCCCCATGGGAATGCCAGCCAGCATCAGCATCCCTCACTTACACTGCGATGCTTATTCATTGTCTGCTAATATTCTCCTACACTTCCCTTTTGTGTGCTGCTTCCCAAAGGATCTTGTGTTGAAGTGGCAGTTGGGAATAGGGAGGGAAACTTTTAGGAGGCAGAGCCTATGGAAGGAAATTAGATGATTGGAGGTGTGCCTTTGAGGGGAACATTAGTATTCTTTAGCCCTGGGATACTTCCCTCAGTTGATAGAAACTTACGAGAGATACTAACGGCATTTCTTTTAGGTGCTGTGGCTGGTTTCCCTCGTACCTGGTGCTGTAGACTAATTTCTGCTAGCTCTAAATATGACTTCAGCCTGCTGGCCCTACCCACGAGCCATCAGCTGCTGCTAGTGAAAATGATCTTTCTATGTGTGTCCCCCCCACCACAAGGAAAGCAGCCTTGCCTCACCATGCCATCCCTGCCAGGAGGCTCTACCTCACCACGGGCCCACAGCGGTGAGGCCAAGGGACCATGGAATGAAACCCTCCAAACTCTGAGTCAAAATCTATCCTTATTTCTTCTCAGTTGTCTGTCTGAGTATCTGTCATGGTCACAGAAGGATGACTAACATGATTTGATTCCTCTCCTAGCTCTTTGAGGGTAGAAATCATGGGCCATGTGTTCTTGGTGTTTTCTGGTTTATAGCATATGCTGGGTTCTGTGTAACTGAACACTATCCTCACTGGCTGCTCAGCCGTGCCACTATTTAAAGGGTCACCCAGAGGTGCTGTGGTAGATAATCCTATAGTCCTAGCACTTAGGAGTTGAGGAAGAAAGATTTCCCCGAGTTTGAGGTCAGCTTGGCCCACCTAATAAGTTCAAGTGTAGCCCAGGCTATGGTGTGAGACCTTGTCTGAAAATACACACACAGATACACACACACACACACACACACACACAGACATATACACACAGGCACACACACACACATAGGCACACACACAGACACATACACACACAGAGACACATGCACACAGGCACACACACAGACACATACACACACAGAGACATGCACCCAGGCACACACACACAGGCGTGCACACACATACACACAGACACATATACACACAGACACACACAGATACATACACACAGGCACACATGCACATACACGCATGCACATGCACAGAGGCACACACACAGTCACACAGGCACACACACACACACACACACACACACACACACACACACACACAGTTACCCAGGAAGATGAACTTAAGCAATTGAGTAAAATGTAGCTTGGAAACTAGTTATAAATCTTAATGAATTGGGGCTGGAGAGATGGCTCAGCAGTTAAGAACACTGTTCTTGCAGAAGACCCGGGTTTGAATCCCAGCGTCCACATGGCAGCTAACAACTGTTCATAACTCCAGTTCCAGGAGATCTGACACCCTCTTCTGTCCTCCACGGGCATTGCACAACATGGGTGCACTTACCTACATGCAGGCAATACAAGCATACACATAAAAAATTAATTAAAAATCTTAATGAATCACGAGGTTAATTTATATTTAATGTTAACAGGACACCTTACTAGTCACTGTTATTTGAACAATGTTTTATAATTGAAGGCATATTCGAACTCCCTATCTCACTGTTTCGTCTCGATGACTCGGGACTAGGAATTATTAGCATCAACCTTCACCTTAAAAATTGGGAACCAGAGGTCAGAGCAATAGGTCTAGGTCTCACATGGGTTGAGCTCTGAATATTCCACTCCTTTTATGCATAATGAAACCACCCTGTCACATCAACTGCTACATGGCAGAAAGTACAAGCTGTAAAGTCACAGCAGATACAGTCATGTTAAGATCAAAACAAAATAGGGACGGAATTTCATACTGAGGCATGTGAAAGACTTGTTTCCAAGCATAGCTAGGATTTGAAATGCTCATCTTCTGATCATGAAGTATCGCCCTCTTGGCACAGCCTGGGCACACAGCAGGGGGTTCGTAATGTGTATTTTAATAAGCTGCACAGCTGCATCACCCTAGAAACCTACAGTACGGAGACTATTTCCTCCTGCAACGGTTAGTAGAGAAATGCTCCAGGCCTCCCTGTAGCTTTTCAGGAGACACACCCCACAGTATAAAGCTCCTGTGAGTACCCCAGGCCCTGTGACCCCAGGCTCCGTCCTTATCATTAGTGCTCTAAACACAGGGAGTAAGGTAAGACTCTTGTAGAAACATCTACAAACAAACTGAAGGTACTGGTACAATGAAACTGACTTTCTGCGTCACCAAGCCCACCCTATTTCCATCGTGTGTGTGTGTGTGTGTATATGTGTGTATGTGAACACACATGTACCTGCATATGTGTATCAAGTTGCAAGTATGTGCACTTGAATGTGGAGGCCAGAGGTCCACTTCAGGAGTCACTCCTCAAAGGCTGGTCACTTTTTTTTATCAAGACAGGGTCTTTCACTGACCTGGACCTTGACAAGCAGTCTAGGCTGGCTCCCAAGGTCTACCTCCCTCTGCCTTCCCAGCACGGGGCCTGCAAGTGCAAGTCACCAAGCCTGATGACTTTTTTACTGTGTGTTCTGAAGACTGGATTCATGTCCGTATGTTTATTCAGCAAGCCCCTTACAGACTGAGCTTTCTCCCCAGCCTCCATTCCCATATTTGTGGAGCAATGGAAAACCCTAGTCAGTTTCATACAAAGAACTCTCTAATTTATGGCCCTGGGGGGGCATATTCCATAGTCCAGCACTGGTTCCACTGTGAGGCACTCCATGTTCCATCTACTTTTGATTATCTTCCACTACGCGGTCTGGATGGTTTATGTAGATATTCATGAAAACCTTACAGTCCCTCTTACGCTACTTCTAGTTTGCGTCAGCTGTCAATCTGATACAGCCCAGCATTATCCAAGGGAGTTGTAATTGGGGGATTGCCTAGATCAGATTGGCCTGTATATGCACATGTCTATGGGGGCATTTGCTAACTGTGTGGTGCCCCCTCTGGGCAGGTGATCCTGGGTTGTATAAAAAAAAAACTGGCTGAGGGGGCCAGGGTGTTATGCGCCTTTAATCCCAGCCCTCAGGAAGCAGAGGTAGGCGAATCTCTGTGAGACTGAGGCCAACTTGGTTCACACAGTGACTTCCAGGTGGGCTGGGACTAGGGAGACCCTGTCAAAAAGAAAAGCAAACAAAATAAACAAAACAAACGCTCTCCCCCAAAAGAAAGATGGTTGAGCATGAGCCAGAGGGGCGAGTCAGCAAGGAGCATCCTCCATGGTCTCTGCTTCAAGCCCCTGCCTTGAGTTCCTGCCTTGGCTCCCCTCAGTGAGGACCATACCCTGTAAGACAAAATAAACATTTTCCTCCCCAGTTGCTATTTTGTTCTGGTGTTGTCACAGCAACAGGACAGTGGGCTAGAAGAGGTACTTCTTCAGTCTGTAGAGTAGGCTGGGGATGTAGCTAGGGGGTAGCATGGTTGTCCAACATACACAAGGGCCTGGGTTCAGCACCCAGTACTGCAAAAAAGAAAGAAGATGAGCTATTTAGCTGGGCATGGTAGTGAAGACCTAAAATCCCAGCACAGGAGGTGAGTTCAAGGCCAGCCTGGCTACTAGTGAGAACCTCTCTCAAAAAGCCTACATTAAAATGACAAAAAGAACATTTCATACTGGTACCTTTACCTCTCCATAGACCTTACTCTTCTGTGTGCTTTAGTATGGGGATTATTCTTTAGAAAAACTACAACTTATTAAATATGTTCAATTAAACACACAGTGGCCTCACCACAAAAATTAAAATTGCGCTCAATGACTCAACACAAACTTCTTTGCTGTCCTATGCCTAGCCCTTGATCAGCCTTGTGCTGATCTTATGTATGCCAAGGTCTGGAGGGAAGCCTACTAGAACAGAGCTAGGCTTCCCACTCAGGCCAGAGGACTCTGCTTTCCCAGGGTTACTTAGAATTCACTAGATAGAGACATAGACTGTGCGAGTGATTTTCCTATCAGCACATTCCTTATAATTTGTAGGATAAGTCCTAAAGTGATCATCTCACCCATCTGCCATTTACACAGCAGCAAACCCATGGTCCTGTTTCCACACTTACCAAGTACCTTTCTGAGGACACGCTGACCAGGATGAGGTCATCTCCAACGCGTACTTTTTCTCCTTCAGACCTCTGCTTAGAGGCGGGATGGATGGTCCACCAACAAGCCTCCCCTGCGAGTGACAGAATCACGAAACACAGAGAAGTTCCTGTTACCATTTGCATGACTTTCTGAAATATAAATTTTCATGCAAGTTAATCTTTTAGAGCATGAAATTCAAAAGACCTCAGCCAAATTTGCTTAGGGCAAGACATGCCAAAATGTAGAGCTTCTCATGAGAAATGGCTGTGACAGTGTGGTATCTTTTCTCCCTATTAAGAACTGCTTTAAAAAGGATATTTATTTATGTATGCTAACATAGGACTAGATCTGCCAGTCAACCCAGGCTGATCTCACTCCCCAGCAATCAGGTATCATTTTCCTGTTTACACTACTCTGCAAAAACATCTATTTTTTACAAGATTTTCAGAAGTGCTTGAGCTTTTATGTTGTGACAGCTGCATTCTAAGTGTCTGTTAATCACAGGACTTTGGGAAGATGTTGATTCAAAAATGGTTGCAAAGTATTGTTATCTAAAAATTTATTACCCTGTATCCTCTGTTTTGCTTTATTTTAGTTTAAAATGTGGTCACTCCTATTAACCTGAAAGTTAAACATAAGAGATTCTTAGTATAGAAAGATCCATTATAAGAAGATCGGGGTGAACTTTGAAAAACAGTCACTTCTAGAATAAGTCAGGCAGAGGCATGAAGCATACATTCATCCAGCATGTTTAGCCTCTTCACTCAACACCCAAGAGTAACCTCAATCTGTTCACAGCTCTTGGAAGTCCTAGATGTAATTTCTACCCAACAATCACAATGACGATGTTGTGAGATCCTTTGTCTAGACTTGTCATTCTCTCCCTTTACCCCACATTAGTTTTTAATTTGCTACATCTTTAAAAAACATTTTCGTGCCGGGCGTGGTGGCACACGCCTTCAATCCCAGCACTCGGGAGGCAGATGCAGGCGGATCTCTGTGAGTTCAAGTCCAGCCTGGTCTACATAGTGAGTTCCAGGACAGCTGGGGCTACAGGGAGACCCTGTCTCAAAAAGAACAACAACAAAAAAATGTATTTGTGTACATCTGTGCCTGTGGAGGTCAGAAGGCAACTAGTAGAAGCCAGTCCTCTCCTTCCAAGATGTGGATCCTGGGGGTCAAACAGAGGTTGTCAAACCTAGCAGTATCTTTTCTGGCTGAGCTGTCTTGAAGGCTCTTTATTATTTTTCTATAACACATTTATTTTTCTTAACTAATCCCCCAAGGCCAGAACATAAGTTCTACGGCAGCAAGAGCTATTTTGTTCACTGGGGTTTCCCAGACATATTAATTCATTTCCTATGAATGAGTCAACGAGTCATCTGGTAGTATTTCTCAGGAACTCTCATGTCAGTGTGGAATCTGTGCCCCCAGCCGCCTTCCTTACACAAACCAGTCTTACATCCATGTCACCAGACATAATTCTCATTTTCATTCAGGCACCCAAACATTTAAAGTGCATCCATTATTTCCCAGTCATGGATTCACTGATTGGAAATTTATAAACAAACAAGAAAAAAACCAAAACAACAACAAATCTGCCTTGTGAGTTTAATTCCGATGGAATAAACAGAAAACAAATAACGTGCAGCATAAGTACTTTGGCAATTCAGAAAGAGTGGAGGGACATGGTGGGGGAGTGGGGGTGCAGAACAGCATGGACTCAAGGCTGGGGATGCCCTGGAGGGACATGGTGGGGGAGTGGGGGTGCAGAACAGCATGGACTCAAGGCTGGGGATGCCCTGGAGGGACATGGTGGGGGAGTGGGGGTGCAGAACAGCATGGACTCAAGGCTGGGGATGCCCCAGAGGGACTAATGGGCTGTGTCATTCTTACTGTTCTGTGATTGGCTCAGTGAATAAATACAAGTTCTACATCATGTCTGTCTCCTACAGTCTTCCCAAGTGCAAAGGTAAGACTTTTCCATTTATGTGCTAAAATACATGAAGTAAAATGAAAAAAGTTGAGAAACCAGAAAGAATAGAGAACAACTGAACTTAGAGAAAAGGAAGTAAAAAATCAGAATATTATATTCATCCTTTTATGCCCATGACTATGAAAATGATCAAAAGTTAGTTGGGTTCATTCAAATATATAGATGAGTTCATTTTCATCTATTTGGTCTTTGTGAACATGTAGCACATAAAAAAAGCATTTTTAATTTATTTGTCATTGATGCCTAAAAATGTAAAAATTGTACATACTCATGGGGTACCATGTAAGGATTTGGTATCTACATGTAATGTATAAAGTTCAAATCAGAACTAATATATATATATATATATGCATATGCATGTGTATATATACATGTGTGTGTATATATGCACATATATGTGTACATATTTGCCCTCAGGCATTTATAACATTTGTACATGGAAAAAGCATTTAAACTATTTCTTCTGGCCTGTTGAAATATGCAATATGTAACTGTTAACAAGTCACCCTATTGTGCTATGTACAACACTCAAGAAACTTTGTCTATGTGTGTTGTATGTTTCGTGGCATTGGGATGGAATCCAGGGCCCTGTGCATGGAAGCACTGTACCACTGAGCTCCATCCTCAGCCACTGAGAATGCATTTTATTTATTTATGTATTTATAGTTTATGTGTATGAGTGTTTGCCTGCGTGTATATACGTACACTCATGCCATGCGATGCCTACAGAGGCCAGAAGAGGGTGTCATGTATCTCTAAGCACATCTAGCCAGCTTCTCTCTAGCAGGATTTCAGCGTGGTGCAGGGTACTCACCTGTGGTTTCCTCCTGCAGGCCAACATCAAAGGCTAGTTTGTCAGTTGAGGACCGGGAGGTGGACAGGCAGCACAGATACTGAAAGTAAAGATCAGTAGTTGTCACAGAATGTTGAAGTCTTATCCTGGGGACTATGATGAGTGTGGCAACAGGTATGGAGGGGCAGGCATGTCTGCGGTGTGGAGACTCAGAGTCCTCTGCATGGATGGGCAGGCATGTCTGCAGTGTGGAGACTTAGAGCCTTCTGCACGGATGGGCAGGCATGTCTGCGGTGTGGAGACTTAAGATCCGACAAAGCATAATTGTGTGTGTGCGTGCGTGTGTGCGTGCGTGTCTGTGTGCATAGATGTTTGTGTATATGTCACAATGAATATACAGGTCCCATTATTTTTAATATTTATTTTATCTTTAATTCTGTGTGCCTGTGTATATGTGTGCACATACGTGCAGGTACCCACAGAGACCAAAAAACGGGGTCCAGTCTCTGGAGCTGGAGTTACAGGCAGTTGTTAGCTGCCTGACATGGCTTCTGGGAACCAAACTCAGGTCCTCTGTAAGAACAGTATATGCTTTTAACCACTGAGCCATCTCTCCAGGCCCTGAAACCCATTACCTTATATGTTAGCTAAAAATAAACTATGAAAAACATTTACAGTCAGAGTCTAATTCTGATAAGTAAGCTGTTATCTTTCTCTCTCTGCTGATGATTCTTTCTGTAAAAATCTTGTTGCCTCTGTGCAGAGTGGCGGACTCCCAGCAGCCGAGACAGAGCAGCACTCGCACGGCAGGCTTTCACAGCAACATGCTAAAGAGATGCGGTCCTTCCCCTCACACGATTAAGGAGATGAGTTCTGTCAGTACAAGCAGACAAGTGACTGGGGATGTGTTTGTACATCTCCCCCTGCATGTGATATTCATGGGCCTCTGCAAACGCACAATGTGATCTGACAGAAATCATTCCCCAAAAGAAACTTGAAAATTACTCCCTTTTATCTTTTACTTTTGATTTATTAAAAAAAAAAAAAATTCCAAGTAACTCTTTGAAATCCATCCAGAACTTATAAGGGTGTGCAGTAAGTCACCTTGTGAGAATGAGGTTTAATATGAATATCCACGTGTACATTTCCCTCGGGGAAATCTGACCACCACCACCCTACTGTCTACTCTATTTTTCTTAAGGATATCTTCTTGGACATAAAGTTTGAGATTGTTTTTTCATGCCAATTCTCCCAGCCCCACTCCAATTCAAACACCTTGTGGGATTACAGAAGAGCAGGGCCACCAAGATGAATTTGTCATAGGTTAAAAATACTCACCCATCTGCAGAAAACGAGGGCTCTGCTGGCAAGGACAGGAGCCCGCACACACACAAAAAAAAACCTTGAAACAATTGTGGGGACGGGGCAAGGCCAGGCCCCCTGGAAGCCCTGGATGTTTAGTGCCCAAGGTCAAAGCCTCCCTAATATGCAATAGGGCACATCGGCTAACTGGATGTCCCTAGGTGTGGGAGGGGAAGGGGTGGAAAAGATGGGCATGCACAGCAGGTGGAGGTCAAGGTCATGGGGTGTGGAATAAAATTGACCTGGAGATCATTCTGCATCTTACAGACTCCCAAAGTTACAGACACAAGGCTTCCAGGGCTCCCGAGCCTGCTTTTAAGTAGTATAAGAGAGAGGTCCAACTCCCAAACAGGCAGCCCACTACGGTGCCTCAAGTTTACAGACTGTTACAAGCCCATCTTTATTTGGGGAAAAATAATCAACTTTTTTTTTTAATTCAGGCTTCCCAGGGAAAAGCACGAGGTGCTGGTGCTGCCTAGTAAAGTTCTGTACTATTTCTCCGTGGCCGCGTAGCGCCAGCACCATAACCAACACACTTTTTGTCTCCTCGCCCTCACAAAAAAACACCGAAGAGGCTAAAGCTATTCTGCTAAACGCTAAGTTCTTCTGAGGACAACTACCTGGATTACTCACATCTATATTCAGCACCCTCGACAAAGTCTGGCACACAACAGATGCCAAATCATTTATTCAATGACTACACGAAATGTTCTGATACGATCTCGGGCTTACAGGGGTTCAGAAAGGTACCCCAGAGCGATACATGGCAAAGTGCAACTCAGCACAGACATAAACAGCAAGTTCAGGTTGTTTTCTCAATTTATTTGATTTTTAAAGGTTTTACTTTCTGTATATAAGTGCTTTGCCTGCATAGATATAAGTGCATCACATACACGCAATGCCTTCAGGGTCCAGAAGAGGGCATCAGATCCCCTGGAACCGGAAGTACGGACAGTTGTTAGCTGCCATGTGGGTGCTGGGAACCTGGGTCCTCTGCAAAAGCAGCCAGTGCTCTTAATTGCTGAGCCATCTCTCCAGCCCTGGGGATTCAAGTTCTTAACTCCTCCATGATGAAAAGAGAAAGTTTTCTTATTTATTTTCCATTTATTATTCTATGCACTTTATGTGTTTTGAAATTGAATATGGAATCCTCTCCATGAAATTTTAATGTGTGATTGCTTTGTACAAAACAAAGTTGTTTTGCCATTTGTCTTATATTCAGCTACTCTGTGAAACTGTATTTGCTTTAAGATTGATTGACTGATTGATTAATTGATTGGCTGATTGGTTGGTTGATTTTGTGTGTATGCCACAGTGTACAGTTGGTGGTCAGAGGGAAACTCTGTGGATCATATCTCTCCTTCCACCATGTGAGCCCTGGGAGGGAACTCGGTTACCTGCTCGGCCATATATTTTAAATTTACTTCATATCTTACTGCACCAGCTGAGACTTTTAGAACAATGTTATAAGAGAAAATAGAACATGGTCTTGTTTTTATTCCTTTGTTGGTTTTAGTAACTTTTATCAAGAATATCTTCAGGGTTTCATAATTATACTGTGGGTTATTGATTTGATGCCATGATTCTTCATCATGAAGGAAATAATGATCAATGCTTAATCAATTCTTTAAGAATGAACATAGAGTTTTATTAAAGACCTTTCCCTGGGGCTGGAGAGATGGCTTAGTGGTTAAGAACACTGACTATTCTTACAGAAGACCCAGGTTCAACTCCTAGCATCCACATGGCAGCAAACAACTGTTCCTAACTCCAATTCCAGGGCATCCGACAGCCTCTTCTGTCCTCTGTGGGCATTGCATGACACAGGTGCACTTTCATACATGCAGGCATAACACTCAGACACATAAAATAAAAATAATAAAATATTTTTTAAAAAAAGACCTTTCCCTGCACTTACTAAGATGATGACATTTTTTTCTTATTTGGCCTGTTTATGTGTAGCACACTAATTAGAATGGAATCATGAAACAAAATCATGCCTTTACTTTTGCTACACTTTTCTTCTAGCACTTTTTATTTTGTTCTTTTAGGTTTTTGGAGTCAGGGACTCACTTGCAGTCCCGGCATGTCCCAAACTCATGGCATCCCACCTTCTCACTTCAGCCCTCTAGGTGTGGAGACGGCTGGCATGTACCACCATGACGGGCTTCTTCTTACACTTTGAATTACATAAATCTGACATTTAAATCAGATTATCAAGTGAGTATGACTGAGAATAACAGGTTGTGTGCGCTGATTGGATCTTGGTTGGGGGTTTTGTTGTTTATGGAGTTTTTCCCCTGTTAGGTACTGGACATTGAACCCAGGGCATCATGCACGCCAGGCAAGTACTCTATCACTTAGTTATATTCTCAGCCCTATTTTCACCTCTTATTTGAGTCAGAGTCTCACTAACCTTCCCATGCTTCTCTTGACCTCACTTTGTAGACCAGGCAAGCCTTGAACTCTGCCTCAGCCTCCTGAGTAGCTGAAATTACAAGCCTGCACCGGCAAGCCCACCTCTCCTTTTTAAAAGGAATGATAAATTATTTTATAAAAGTAGATAATGGATTATCATATAGTCACTAAAATTATGCTCATAAAGAATTTAAACACCAAAGAAATTTTCATATTATGATAAAATGGAAAAAAGAATCGAGATGCAAATTTGGGTATATATAAGATCTCAAGCAAAAAAATAAGAACAGAGAAAACTAAAATGATTTAAATTCTCCAGCAAATTTCTCTTATTAATGTCATCAAAAGAATTTTTTTTGATTTCCAATTATAGAATAAATATGTATTATTTTATAACAAATTTTAAAATGCATAGAATGAAACTTTTATATACTTTACATGTTATATATAATCAATCAAAATAAAGCATTTATAACATATATAAAAATATTTTACCTTTGGATTATATAGGAAAGAGAGAGAATGGGAGAACTGTGCCCAAGAGCTCAGTGGATAACAGGGTGACAGAAAGAAGAAAATCCTCAGTAAAGAAGGGAAAGGTGAGCAGAACTGATATTGGACCTCAATGGGTGTATTTTTATCACATTTTTCAGAAGGGCGTTTTAAGGCTTGTTTTAAATGATATGTAGATGTGTGTATTGTGTGTGAGTATGTACATGTGGGTGCCGGTGCCTTTGGAGTCCAGAAGAGGGCATTGGATCCCCTGGCCCTGGAGTTAAAGACAGCTGTTAGCTGTCATGTGGGTGCGGGGAACCAAACTTAGGTTTTCTGCAAGAGCAGCCAGTGCTCTTAACTGCTGAGCCATCTCTCTAGCCCTGAAGCTAGATGTTTTGATGCATTTATAAATTAACAATTTAAAACAAAACTGGAAATGGAAAACATTTAACATCTGACTCTTATACCTACCTACCCCTAAAACATCTCTATCAGAAGGTATTAAAAATAGGAGCCATACCTGGCACAAATGGCCAAGGTTTGTGTTATTGTTGTTGGTTAAAAAGGCAAATGAATGAATCTAATTGCATAAGGAGAGGAGTTATGGATAACAGAAAAGAAGAGCTTTTAAAGTCATTGAAGCTAAACCTTCAGAAAACTGAACAGAGGACAGGGATATTACAGATCATATATTTCCAAACTCATTAACCGCCTTGCTGAGATGATGTCATCAGCATTCCAGTGGTCTCTCCATCCCTGGAGCAGCATAGTCACTTGAGAGATGAAATCCAAAAACTCACTCACCATGCCACTGTAGGAATGACGTAGCAATATGGCATGTCCGTAGAGGAGTGTCCGGTGGCCACCACCTTGAGCCGTCTGTGAGGAGGGGAGAAAAGGTAGAGAACAGGAAAAGCACAAATGAGTGAACTTAACCCAGTCAACAAAGCGCTCTGTAGTCCTCAAGGGAAGGGTCAGTGGGAGAGAACAGAGCAAAGGTCTGTAAAAGCAAGGGGCTACGGAAGGAATCCTTAGGTGGGAAGGAAGCCGTGAAGGACACATCTACCATGAGGTAGCATCTCCACAAGCTCTGGGAGATGAACTAGACCAGAGAACGATGGTCATGATGACACCATTCACAGTTGGCCCTGTCTGTTGTGGTCTACACTCCTATTATAGCACAGTCACATTGGGCAGGAATCAGATCACCCTGGCTACCTCATATCCGGATGACTTGCTAAGTGCCAGACGCACAGTAAGCAACAGGTGAGTGCTAGTTCAATGAAGGAGTTCTTGCAAAAGTTAGACTTAATCATCCCACCAAGTTGCTTATAGGCATACGTCAAACCATTTCTACGGGATAGGAGCGTGGCCCTTAAGTGCAAACAAGCTTGGAGAACTTACTAAAATTCAGGTACTTAAGCCTCACCACTGACATTCTCATTCAAGAGGTCGGAGGCCAACACAGACACATCTCATTTGAAATATTTCCCATGATGTCACTGGCCAAAGACCACACTTAGAGACACACAAACACAGAAGGCCTTTAGCCACAATCCTTTCTGTCCCTGGTCCCCTGTCACCTTAGTCTCTAAACATACCCACTTTCCCTGAATTTGCCGTGCTGATCTGTCTTGAAATCCAAAGTTCACTCTACCTGTGTGTAGTCTTCCTTGCCTTAAAAACTAGGTTTTCGGGGCTGGAGAGATGGCTCAGCGGTTAAGAGCACTGACTGCTCTTGCAGAGGACCTGGGTTTGATTCCCAGCACCCACAGGGTGGCTATAAACCATCCTTAACTCCAGTTCCAGGGGAATCCAAGGCCCTCTTTTGACCTCTGCAGCAATGCATGACATGGGTACTCACATACATGCAGGCAATACACTCATACACAAAAAATTAAAATAATAAAATATTTTTTTTAAAAACTAGGTTCTCAAACTCAGTTGACTGGCCACCTCCTCCATGAAGCTGTGTCCAGATTCCACAGAATTAGCCCCTCCCCCTGTGCCTGCACACTGCCCTCCCACTTTCCCCCAAAGAACTGCCTCCTTGAGCTTTCTATGAACTGCCTCTTATATTGTTGATGAAAGCCATTTAACGGTCTTTCTTCACACCCTGCTCTGAGCAATCAACACATGTTGAGCAAATAACTGGGTTGGGGGAGGCACTGCAAGATGAGAGTGCATCTGGGCACATACACTGGTACAGAATGCTTAAGAAAGAGGGAAGGATAGTGTGACAGAGCTCTGTGTTAATGAATGTCTGCTCGCTAGTGGGGAACACCTCCCACCTAAACATGTACCCAAAAAACAAAGATCTCTGATGTAAGAGAGTTCCTATTACATAACAAAGTTATTTAGACAATTATTTCTCATTAGTGATTTTGTTCTTAACCAGAAAGTGCTGCTCAGATGTAAGACTTCAAATATTGGTCTCCAATACTGTAGTGCCCACCTGTAGCTAAGGGAGACAACCAGCCATTGTTCTAAAATGATGGCTAAATTTGTTTTCTACCCCTGTCTAGAAGCATTTGAGAGGGAACTGACACTGATTCTAGCCATTCCAACAGCTATCAAAGTGCCTGAAAACAAATCCTGAGTCCATTACTCTCGAGTCCAGCCTTGGCAGACAAAAGAAAAATGAGGAGGAACCCAGTGGAGGAATGCTTTTGGAAGCTCTCGTCAAGAAATCCCAATGGACTCTGATATGAACATTTGACTTTTTTCTGGTTCCCTGTCTAGAACTTGTAATGCTAACTACTCTTGCCTTTACTTCTCCTTCACATCTCCAAGGCACCAGTCAAGGACTTTCTTTTCTCTCTACAGTTAAGAGTTATGCAATTTGGGAATCTTTTAGATAGACCCACTGAAGGGGTACCCCAATTACCTCATCCTGCATCCCTGTTCAGCATGGAAGAGATAAGAATGGGAGGTAGGAATTGGCTAGGCAATTAGGGTAAAAAGACCCCAAAGAAAACTAGCCAGTTTATTGGCTAAAACTCACAATGTCCTTGGGTCTCTTAGCAACATACTCCGTACCAAAGGCCAAAAATGTCGAAAATATTTGGGAGATTTTATCTAATCCTTAAAAGATTTTAGGGTTACCTCTTCAGAGGGGAAATATTAGAGTAGCCAAAAGCCCCAATAAAAAATTAAAGAAGAAAGAGTACATGAAATTATCAGAAAAAAGTGATGGGGAGATATGGGAGGAGTTGGAGGGGAGGGAGTGGGCATGGATTTGACCAAAACACCTTATATACATGTATGAAATTCTCAATAAATTATTAATTTTTTAAAAAAAATTGACCTTTTTGAGACACGTTCTCACTCTGTAAGCCCTGGCTGGTACTTTCTGTCTGGTACCAGGCTAGCCTTTGACTCACAGAGATGCACCTGCCTCTGTCTCCTGACTGCTGGGATTAAAGGTGTGTGCTACGCCTGGCACAAAATTTGACTTCTTAAAAAATCAAGAAAAATGATTTTCCCCAGTTTTGTGGGGAGCTTAGTTTCATTTCTCCCTGAAATGACTAACAGGGTTAATGTTATAAAATAATGTAAAATAAATTCATAAAATGTAATTGGATAAAATGTCCAAACCTTCAAATGAAATCTGAGCAACACTGTTGTGTCTTCTAAAGAACATCCTCACCTAAAGTTCACAAATCATTTAACACCAGTTGAGTATCATTAGGCATTTCAAGCCTTTAGATTTCTTGGATATTGTCAGAAATGTCCAACTGGGGAGGCCATGTTATAAACAAAAGTTTTAATGCTAACACTTACATTTACACCCCACTTTACATTGACATCATAGAACTATAAAATCAGATAAGTAGTGATGGAGATCAACTATGGCAGTTTATAAACACACAACAATTGCCGTCTCTGTATTTTACTCAATATTTATTTTCTAACGCTTTTCTGACTGTTTCAAAAAGAAGTGTTTTCAATACATACTTGTTCATAAACGTGCCACTTATATTGTTGATTGAAGCTATTTAATTCATTAACTATATAACATCGAACATCTTAAGGACTGAAGTTCTTTGTACAAAAATGCGCTGCTAATCAATCGAGATATTTCTCAAAATTCCAAGCCTTTAAGGAATGAGAATTTTTGTATGGAAATAAATCGGGGCCGCAGGAGTTGTTCAGTGGTACAATGTTAGACTTGTTGCCTAACACATGCAAGTCCCTAGGTGTGATCCCAAGGCAGAAGAGAAAGGAGACCATGAGGAGAAAGAGAAACCAGAAGGAGGAGGAGGGAAAGAAGAGAGAGGGAGAGGGAGAGGGAAGGGAAACGGGGGAGGGAAGGAGGAAGGGGTCAGTCAGTCCATCAGTCCTTCCATCCTTCTGTCTGTCCCCTGGGAAAACTGATGAGGCTTTAGAGATCACCAGTTTGTTATTATCTAGCACCAGCAAGCAGAAGCAGGATAGCATCCTCCTGTTCTAAGTGGTTCAAAGATGCCTTTCTGGATGACAACTCTGAGCGAATCAGGATCAAAATTGAAAGTTTAATCATGCTCAGCATCTTTTTTCTACTAAGTGGCTCAATTTACTCTAATTGTGTACACATGCCCCTGCATCAGCAGATGCTAAGCTTTTCCCACCATTGAATGTGGTGGTCTCTGGCCTCCCAGTTAGTGGAAATGAGGGCCTAATTATTTCATTTAGGCATAACACCTAGAGCTAACTGGTGACCTCATCTTTCCATTCGAAACTGTTATGTGAATTAACTCCAGCAAAGGAGCAGGAGAAACTGCTTTGGTTGATGATGGTGTTTGTTTGTGGATCTGGTACTGTTTAAGGAGGGGTGGGATGAGGATAAAAGAATACAATAAGCACAGTAAATGCATATTTAGCAAGAAAAAATGGAATGTTCTAAGTCAAATTTCATCATACATTAATATTTGCAAGGAAAGGGTGTATTTTCACATTTTGAGACTGCTTAAAATACAAATACTTGTGTCATGATACATGTAATGCAGTGGTTAATATCCTCGCCTATCGTGTACTAACTGTTTTCTGCTGAAAAGTAAGATCTGGATCAGCTGCAGAGATGGCTCAGTGCTTAAGAACACTTGTAGCTCTTTCAGAGGACCAGAGGTCAATTCCCAGCAAACCATGTTGGGCGACTCACAACCTGTAGCTCCAGCTCCTGGGGGATCCGATGCCTCTGGCCTCCATGAACACCTGTCCTCATGTGCACATACCCACACACAAACACACATATACACACCATTCAAAATAAATCTCAAAAAAGTAAAAGCTGGAGTTACATGATTTATTTGATTTATTTATTTATTTTTATTTATTTTTTTTAGTTTTTTGAGACAGTCTCCCTGTAGCCCCAGCTGTCCTGGAACTCACTATGTAGACCAGGCTGGCCTCAATCGCACAGAGATCCACCTGCTTCTGCCTCCAGAGTGCTGGGATTAAAGGTGTGTACCACCATGCCTGGCTCTATATGACATTTTGAAAGAAGCTCCCCATCTTTGATGGGAGGCTTCAAAGAAATACTAGACACTGTCACCTTATATGCCGAGCCCCGTTCCTTACTGTTGGGGAACAGTGTCAACTTGAGGGTGAACATACACGGCACCTATCCTGAGGGTCTGTAATGGATCTGGAAGTCTTAACTATGAAATCCCATGGAACAGCCTGAGAGGACCCTGTTTGCTTGCTTTAAAGCAAGCTTTTCAGTCTACATCTAGAAGTCTCATCCATGGTTCTAGAAGTTTCTATCTTTTGGAATGATGTTTCCCTTGGGGATTACAAATTAAATTAAGCCTTTAGGAGCTGAATACAAATACGTGTCTTTGTTGTTTCTCAGGTTTTAGGATAGAGTACTAGGCTTCGTGTATATGACAGAAAAATGCAGTTGAAATGAAACCTTCAGTCACACTTCATACTTTTGTCCTCCAACCTCCGCCTCCCGCAATGTGACAGTGTGTTTCAATCTATTCCTATGTCTCCTTTTGTGAGGGTCTGCTTTTCTAAGTTAGCTGAGAAATGGAATGAGGCTGAATTATTTTCTTTCACTTCCAGGAAAATTTAAAGTACTTTATGGGTGCCTCTTCTAATTTCACAATGTAAGTTCCTATTACATTCATGCAAAGTGTCCCTGCACACAAAATAGTCAGCATCATCCACAGAGCGAGCATTCTAAAAAGACATCAGTGAATTGAATGGAAGACATCCCTCGTGGTGACTAACTAAATTTCATATGTTACTGTGCGACCCAAATATGTCAAAAGTTGCTTAAGTCATAAACTCTAAACACATGATTTATTTACTTACATTTAAATTTCTGGCATTTTATTTGATTAAAAAATTTAATGTAAGGAAATGTTGTGAACCCAAACGTAAAGCAGATTCATATGGTCATACCAAAACTGATTCAATATCACATATAACCATATTAAAACATATGAAATATTAGATGTAACCATCCTAAAACTCATAAAATATTATACATAATCATACTAAAACATATGAAATACTACATATAATGTACTAATATCTATGCTGTACTATATATAACCATACTAAACTTATGAATTATTACATACAATCATCCTAAAACTTACAAACTATTACATGTAACCATACTGAGATGTACAAACTGTTACATACACAGCAGAAGATCAAAGTCTCACCTTCATCATGAATTTCTGTAAGGACATAAGAAAGAGAGAGATAATATTAAATACAGATCATTTCAATGTCTCATTTTAAAAAGCATTCTTAGACACTTCGTTGTTCTAAATGGAGCTATATAAATGATTAACAGAAAATTCACTCTGTTGTTGCAGCAAAACTTAGTATTTGACTACAGGATAGAGGGAAGCAGAAGCAAGCGAAAGTCTTTGTAAGGATGCTATTCCATTTGTCCATTTGTCCTTCTGTTTTCTGTGAAAACACACTTCTCTATGGGAGTGCTTGACTTCACTCAGAGCACAGCTAAGTACCAAAAGGAGTTACTATCTTCCACTTATCCTAAGAAAGGGCTTAATTAAAATTTATTCATTCCATCTTTTTCTTACAAATTCATTGATACAAGCCAGGTAATTTGAGTAAAATTGGTGGCTAAGAAGAAACAAGTCAGGTGGATTTTAACTGAGGAGCTGAGCACCTGTTAAGAGTAACAGGAACAATCCCTTATCCGCTGCATACCATGAGAGGCGGATTTCAAAGAGAAGTCACAAAAGTGTCTCTCCTTTTCCTTCAAAAATGCCACAGTTTCTTCTCATAAATGATAACAGCCACAC